TAAATAAATAAATATAAAAATTATTTGTGTTTGGGACGCTGTGAGCGTGGAGACTGTAGTGTACACCGTAAGTTTTAAAATGTTTAGCTTAAATGTTTAATATGAATAAACAGTGCTCATAAACGGCTGCTGAGGTAGTATTCTCAAGTGAAGCGGCTTGGACCCGGAAACAGCGCTTCTTACGTCACCACTTAACAAGCGCTGATATTGAAGATATAACTCTTCAAAAACCATCACTGCATGCAAATGAAAAATAAAGAACAGCTTTGATATCCATGATAGACAGTCCCTACCAATAACACTGGCTGTATGATGTCCAGTGAAGGAAACACTGCTACACCTTTATAAATAGTATCCTCACTCACTCCACAGAAAGTGAGAAAATCTTGCATAACATAAGAGGCTGATGCGAAAGATGCTACAAATGCTGATAGGGGCTGATGTGATGCTGAAAAACAGTGAGATCTAAACTGAATAGATCAGGAGGTGTTTTAGTCCATTAGGAAAGGCTTAAAGACTGTATAAGGCATCGGAATCTGCAAGAGAAAAAAGTTACATAAATGTATATTAGTCTGATCTGTACTGTAGAAAAGATATGTAATAGCTCAAATCAATAAAAGTAAAAGCAGAATTTACTAAACTTAATCCTCATTAATCCATCCTTTCACTGAAGGGTTTTCTTGGGCTTTATTAGAACAATGCATTGCTCAATAAATACCAAATTGGCCATGAAAGCTTGCATTAAAAAGCTACATTTTACTGAAACACATTACAGCTATCTCTTTTGTGAATCTTGTGCATTTGGATAGTAAATATTTCCACAGAAATGCATTTAGAATAGAGCAAATAGAAAAGAACATGTTGAGGCAAAAAAAGCAGCTACTCATCTAATGAATAGACCAATTAAAGTCCATTCATTCATTCATTCATTCATCATATTTTCATCCAGTTGCTTTCTCCAAAATATATATTTAATATATATCTTATATACCACCTTTGTACACTTACAATTGCTTAAAATTTAAACTGTACATGATTACAATTAGCACAGGTTTTATATTTCTTTATTAGAGGTGACTGATCATAGCCCTCACTGAGTTAATGAATCTCAGTTTGAGTGAACATTGACAAAATTATCCACATAATAATATTTTTTTCACTCAAAAACTAAGATGCATAAGCTCAGATCAGTGAGGTCTATTACCAATCAGTTCCAAAAGGAAATACAAAACCTGTGCTAATTGAAAGAAAACATGTTGACAAAAAAGAATCATTTGGCCATAATATAGGGTAATGAGATTCACCAGCAATTTTTAAAATGCGTTTTTAAATAATAAATAATAGAATAAATAATAAATAAATAAATAAGATAAAGAAAGATAAAGAATTTTCTGCACAGCACATTTAGGGGTAAATAAGCAGTGTTGGGGAAAGTTACTTTTAAAAGTAATGCATGACAATATTGCGTTACTCCATAAAAAAGTAACTAATTAGGTTACTTAGTTACTTTTTATGGAAAGTAATGTGTTACGTTACTTTTGCGTTACTTTTTAAATCTGGACAGGGCTTGCTTGTTTGTTTATAAAAATAAAAAATTATATTTCTGGCAAATATTAAAGCCTTTTCACACCAAAAGTGAAATGAATAAGCCGATCATCGAAGGTCAGAAGCAAAGACATTGGTTAATAGAATGGGATTAAATACATAAAGGATATTTGTGTTGTTTAACATTTAATTATTGCAGGTTTGCGTCATATTCTGAGTTGCATTATTTTTATTCATTTTGAGGAATACTGAATCTGTGTTTTTTTTTGTGAGTGAGATGAATTAATGCATATTCATATTTATTTTAGAACTACAGTAACATCTTCTGATTTCTCTCAACATGGGGACAGGAGAGCTGTCAATCAATAAATTAAAATTAAAAAGTAATGCGTTACTTTACTAGTTACTTGAAAAAAAGTAATCTGATTATGTAACTCGCGTTACTTGTAATGCGTTACCCCCAACACTGTAAATAAGGTACAAAGATACCGTTTAGAATTTGTACCTTAGTGTACCACCTCAGCGACAGCTTTGTACCTTATTTTCTGAGAGTGTAGGATACAAGAAAAAAAATAGAGATTTGTGCTAGTATCCTAAAATTATGCTTTCAAAGATGTACAATCCTAAAACCTGTGCTTTCCTGACCTTCAAGATTATTTAATTCAAGTTTATTTTGTATGGCGCTTTTCACGATACAAATCGTTGCAAAGTATCTTTACAGCTAATTAAGTTTCTACAATATTTAGTGGTAGCTTATTAGTGGTGACTGCCAGTTAATGTACATATGGCAGAAATCTACGGAAAAATAAATTAAAGACGTAATCAATTAAAGACGTAATCAAACAGACGATGAACACTATTAACAGCAATTATTATATGATGCAATCAAACTTATAGCAAAATTTCGTAGTTCTGTATGTTGTTTCATGGTTGCCATCATCTGAGGTCCTCTGAGGGTTTGGCATCATCTCTTCTCAGGTGTTCTGGATCCAGACTGAAGCTTGTGTAAATCCTAGTGCAGAAACAAGCGAAACAAATAGAGACATAATTAGCGTAGCTGCTTTTCCAACCA